AAATACTGGTGAGAGACCGATAGCGAACAAGTACCGTGAGGGAAAGATGAAAAGGACTTTGAAAAGAGTGTCAAATAGTGCTTAAAATTTTCAGGAGAAAAGCGGGTGGGGGCCAGCGATGCGCCCCGGTCGGATGTGGAACGGTCAAAAGTCGGTCCGCTGATTGGCTCGTTTACCCACTAATAGGGAACGTGAGATAGGTTTAGACCATCGTGGCAGCCAAGCGTTCATAGTGACGTTGCTTCTTGATCCTTCAATATCGGCTCTTCCTATCAGTGTGAAGCAGAATTCACCAATTGTTGGACTGATCACCCACCAATAAGGAACGTGAGCTAGGTTTAGACCGTCGTGAGAAATGTTAGTTTAACCTTACTGATGACAGGGTCGCAATGGTAATTCAACCTAGTATGAGAGGAACAGTTGATTCACACAATTGGTCATTGCGCTTGGTTGAAAATCCAGTGGCGCGAAGCTACCGTGTGCTGGATTATGGCTGAACGCTTCTAAGTAAGAATCTGGGCTAGAAGCGACGCATGCGCCCGCCGCCCGATTGGATGGTTTGGATGCTTAAAGGCAAATTGGATGGTTTCACCCACCCAATTGGACTCTCGGAGGGTATTAGGGTCTATAGGTAGCTTTTCAGAAATTTTTGTTTTCGGTTCAAAAAAAGTCAAAAATTGGCAAGATTGAAGGCTATAATACACGCTTTTTGGCCAATTTATGAGGTTTCGGGACCCGGTGTCGAAAAGTCTCGAGAAACCAGGGGATACATCCCTGGGTCATATAATGTCGTTTGGAACCATATATGATCATTATATATTGCCATAAATGTCCGTGGTAGCCTCGAGTTTATGAAAACGGTGCAAGTTGTAAACGGGTAAATTGACAGTTCGAAGGTATATTGGATGGTTTTACCCACCCAAATGGACTCCCGGGGTGTATTAGGGTCCATGGGAATCATGTCGGAAATTTTGATTTTCGGGTCTAAAAAAGTGAAAAATTGTCCAATATTGAAGGCTATAATACACAATTCCAGGTCATATTTTGACATTTTTTCGAAAATTATACTGAATATGTGGGGTGACTCCTGGGGTCATATAAGGTTTTTGAAACCATAATTGACCTTTAAAAATGTCTATAAAGTACCAAGAATGAGTTATGTTTCTATTTTGAAATTTTGGAATGTAATGATGTCACAAAAGTATATTGAAGTGATATTACTTGAAAATGATGATGTCATATGAATATGATGTCATAAAAGTATATTATGATGTCATAAAAGTATATTGAAGTGATGTGATTTGACAATAATGATGTCATATAATAATGATGGAAGTGATATTACCTAACAATAATGATGTCATATGAATATAATGATGTCATATAAGTATATTGAAGTGATATGACTTGACAATAATGATGTCATATGAATCAATAATGTCATATAAGTATAATGATGTCATATTATGTAATTATATTTATAATGATGTGATGTCATACTATGTTGGGACTTGACAATAGTGATGTGATGCGATTTCACACTATGATTTGGAATTAGAAAATAACACATGTTATATATGATGTAACTATGGAAAATCATATTACTATTCACATGTGTGTTGTGTTGATTGATGTGTCTATTGATAGATTATGGATAGTAATAATACTTTTATGGAATCATCTTACTAGTACTATTCATGTTTGTAATCTAAATATCACATCTCATCTCATATTCCATCATCTATTACACACAAACTGTCCCTCAATCACCATGTCCCGGGGTCAATTGGCACATTCCCAGTATAAAACAACCTTGAAAAACGAGCAGTAAGGGTAATATGGGATGTACCAAAGTGTCTAAATTACATCCCCTACCATTCCAAACCTTTTCCCCATGTTTTGGGGCTGTTTCAGCAACTTTATTTTCCAGTTTTTCCAATTACCGCCTTTTTTCCCGTATTTTTCATTTTTGGGGCGCACAAAAAGTATTTTTTTGGAAAAAAAAGTGTCAAAATGAAGATTAATACCCATTCTTTGGACTCCATTAAAAAAAATTGGGTGTTATTATCACATTTTCTCAAGTTTTGACCCATTATTGTGTGACTGTCAGTCGAGTGTTCATTACAATTTTACAAGGGGTTCAATATAAATCTCTTTAGGGGAAGGTGGGCAACTCATGCTTGAATATCTAAATTTAGTTATTCAACCTTGGGGCCTTCTCCGGACCTGAGGTAGGTTGTGTGCATTGCCAGGCGCTAGTAGAATGCACAAAAATTTCTCACCCGGGGCGAGGCCGAAATTATGACGGTATCATAGCTTCGAGGCCGGGAATGTTGACTAAGCCATTAGCTAGGAACAATGCAGACGCGACTTTGTATCTATGAAGCCGATATTATTCGTCTTGCCTTCGATTAATTGCTCCTTCGTTGACGTGCTTTATGTTAGTTTGGGTGTTTTCAACTATTTCTCGCACTAGTAGAAATACACAAATGCGCACCGAGTTATTGGCACCGATTCTTTATAACCGATGGGAAAACAATTAGTCGGGCTATAGTATAATAAAAATGACACCGGTTCAAATTAAACCGGTGCCAAATTAGGGAATCGACACTGGTTTAAACCGGTGGGAATTAACTGTAAAAAAAATCCCTGCCCCTCTTATTTCTTTCTCTTTCCTTCTCGTCCTCTCTCTCTACTCTTTATCCTCTCTCCTCTTTCCTAAATGGCGTAAAAAAAACCCAGATCAGACCACTACTCTCATTCTATTAATCTCCATTTTTGCTCATTAATGGCGTCTTCTCCTTGATTTTCCACCTCCTCTTCCTTTGAGGACGATTCTATTCTCCAAATTCGAAGATGGCGAACCCCGGCCCAAAAACCAATTATATTATGTTATTTCCTTTTAATCGAGCACTTTTGCTTAACCAATTTTGATTTTTCTTGTTTTCCCCTAATTTTGTTGGTGTTATATGTTTTGATTCTATCAATCGAGATTTAGGGTTTCTGGGTTTTTAATAAGATGGGTGATAGATATGGGTTAAGGTTGTCGATCTGGTGTGTGGGTTCGGGTTAGGGTGGGTTCGGGGGTCGGTCTGGTGTGTGAATTTGGGTTAGGATGGGTTTAGGTGGTGGATCTGGTGGGTTAATGTGGTGGGTTAAGGCGGGTTAGTTGGTTAGGAGTGGTGGCGGTGGGGGCTGCAAGCGGTCAACTTTATATTGAATGTAATTTGTTTGGACGATTAGGTTATATAATTGTTGAAATTGGCTTTGTAAACATCGATTGATTAAGCTAAATGAATGTGTTATATTGACTGTGGGTATATTGATTAATGTGTTCATTTAGTTGATTTTTTTTAATCTATTTTTTTATGTGAATAAAAATCTCCATTCCTTGCCCTGTTCTGCCGCGACCTTAAATATCAAAATAGTGGTATGATTGGTATTAGTCTATTAGACAGTGCAAATTGAATAAGACTAAGGATCAAGAACTCCACTTCACTAGTAATAGGGATGAAGGATCAAGAGCTATTTAATTTCACATCATTTTTATCCAATACTATCAAAATTATAATAATGCTAAGGGCAAAAAACGCATTAGACAATGCAGTCTAAGTAAGAAGACTAAGAACTAACAGTAAATAGCGCTTCATCACAGAGAGTAAAGGGGTTTAACAGTTCAAGGATGAAGAGCTATTTAATTTCACATGATTTTATCCAATACTATCAAAATTTTACTGTATTACTAGTATGCTATTTTCAAATTTTCTAATGAAAGTACTCAGTAACTCACGGCTCATACGGTTTATCATATGGTGGATGGGGATGTCACAAATGAGCGTGAAAAAGCATATGCAATGTTGAAGGAATGCCAGTTATGTGGGACATTGTTTAGGGTGTCCTTAGATTGTGATGATAAAATGGAGCAAAGTAGTTGGTGTACACCAGATTTAATTTCAGATTGTTTGATAAGTAAGATGAAGACTATACAAATATGGAGAGTAAAGGGAACTAATGATGACCTCAGGCTTTTGGCATACATTCTACGTAATGCATTTGTTTTGGAAAAGCTTTGCGTACATTTTCATACGGCTCATACGGTTTATCATATGGTGGATGGGGAATATGTCACAAATGAGCGTGAAAAAGCATATGCAATGTTGAAGGAATGCCAGTTATGGGGGAAATTGTTTAAGCTTCCAAGGAGCTCCTCGACGTGTGAGGTTAAGGTTTATGGTAGGTATGTCAGAGCATCTGGTAATGCCTCAGATTACATCCCGGAAGCTCCACGTCTTTGATCTTGCTCTGCTAGAGGTGTTTGATTCTCCGGAAATTAGTGCATCAGATACAGAATTATGGGTCCGGGAAGTTTGTAGTGTCCATACTTTTTCAAAACCGTAATTATTCATAAAGCAATTTGTCGAGAAGAAAACCATAATTATTCATAAAGTTGTTATGATAATATCTAAATATGGATAACTATTATCCCATGTACAATCTAGAATATTCTAGAGTTGGGTATTTGGTCTTATCCATTGATGGAACCCTAGGAAATGTACATTATATATATCCCGTACTAGATGGAATATGAAATACAACGTAACAATCTTCCCTCATCTCTCTTTATTTTCTATTCCATATTTAACACGTTATCAGCACCATTGCTAGTCAAGTGAGTAGGATTACCAAACATTTATCTAGAATCCATATTATTATTATCATGTAAGTATGATCGCAGCCCATAACAATTATAATTTAACATTTATCTACTTTTGCATGCTTATTTATTGGAATATCAACATATATAACGAATACAGAGCATGATATATAATTTAATGTTCCATTCTTATTTTTCTCCATGCTAACGTTCTCATCTTCTATTTCGTTCTTATTTATGCATGATTTGTATCAAGTTTATTTATGCATGATTATAACGTTTAATACATATTTTTGAATACTATTTATATATACTTATCTTTTAATATTATTTTGTATAGTGAAAAATGTCGAACCTTGCCAAGCTCGAATTTGTGGCCCTTGATATTACCGGAAAGAATAATTTATCATGGGTGTTAGATGCTGAAATACACCTATACGCTAAAGGGCTTGGTGAAACAATAAAAGAGGCTAATAAGGCAACACCTCAAGATAAGGCTAAAGCCATGATTTTTCTTCGCCATCACCTCCATGAAGGGCTCAAAAATGAATATTTAACTGTGAAAGACCCACAAATCCTTTGGAGTAATCTAAAGGAAAGGTATGACCACCAAAAAACAGTGATACTACCTAGAGCTCGTTATGAATGGTTAAATTTGAGATTGCAAGATTTTAAATCTGTTAGTGAATATAACTCAGCTATGTTTAAAATAACTTCTCAATTGAAATTATGTGGAGAAAATATTATTGATGCAGAAATGCTTGAAAAGACATACTCCACTTTCCATGCTAATAATATTATCCTGCAGACACAATATAGAGAAAAAGGTTTTAAAAAATATTCTGAATTAATATCCTGTCTTCTTGTGGCTGAGCAAAATAACGAGCTGTTAATGAAAAATCATGAATCACGTCCTACTGGCTCTACTCCATTCCCTTAAGCGAATGTGACAACCCATAAACGGGAAAGAAACTAAAAACAGGGACCATTCCAGCAGTAGTGGTCGAGGTAGAGGTCGTGGTCGTGGCCAATGACGCGGCCGGGGTCGTGGACGTGGATATGGTAGAGGTCGTGGAGGTCATTTCACAAACTCACATTCCCACCAGAAGTGGGAACGTAAGGATGAAAAAGAGAAAAGTGATAACAATATATGTTACCGTTGTGGAGGAAAAGGTCATTGGTCTCGGGTTTGTAGAACTCCAAAGCATCTTATTGAACTTTACCAAGAATCATTGAAGAAAGGAAAGAAAGTTGAGGCAAACCTTGTTCTTGAAGATGGTGAAGGTGATTTTGATTTTGGCAATACCAATCAATTTGATGTTGGTGATTTCCTTACTTCCCCGGAAGGGAATAATTTTTATTTTAACAGTACAACTCATTCAGAAGTTGCCGATTTCTTCACTGCCCCAGAAGGGAATAATTAAAATTATATTGTATTATGTCAGTTTTAAGTATTAGACTTATGTTTGCTTATTCTAGTAATTTATTTAAGTTTATTTCTTTCGTTGTAATAAGGATTTTTGCTTTATAAATTTATGAACTATTTGAGTGTTTTTATTGATTTATTTGTTTTATCATCTTTATTTTTATGCTTAATATTTTGACATGTATTTTATTTCATGAAGAACATGGATATTACTCAAGTTCAATTTTCTATGAATGGTGAAGAATTATGTCTTGCTGACAGTGCAACTACACATACAATACTTAAAAATAAAAAATATTTCTCTCATTTAATGATGAAAGGATTAATGTAAGTACCATATCGGGTAGTACAAATATCATTGAGGGATCCGGAAGAGCCACTATAAAGTTGCCTCGGGGAACTGAAATTAAAATAATTTATGCTTTATACTCCCCATTGTCTCAAAGAAATTTATTAAGTTTTAAGAATATTCGCAACAATGGTTATCATATTGAGACAATCAATGAAGAAAATAACGAATTCCTTCAAATCACAAATATAACACAAGGCTCAAAACATGTTTTGGAGAAACTACCTACATTCTCTAGTGGTTTGTACTACACAAAAATCAATGTTATTGAAGCTCATGCTATAGTAAACCAGAAGTTTACTAATGATTTTGTTGTTTGGCATGACCGGTTAGGCCATCCCGGTTCAATAATGATGCGAAAAATAATTACGAATTCATGTGGACATTCTTTGAAGAGCCAGCAGATTCTTCATAATAATTTTTCATGTGCTGCTTGCTCGGAAGGCAAGTTGATTATTCGCCCATCACCAGCTAAAATTAATTTTGAATCAATTAGTTTTCTGGAACGTATACAAGGAGATATTTGTGGGCCCATACATCCCCCATGTGGATCATTTAGATATTTTATGGTTTTAATTGATGCATCAACTAGATGGTCACATGTGTCTTTGTTATCAACTCGTAACCTGGCGTTTGCGAGACTACTTGCCCAATTGATTAAGTTATGGGCACATTTTCCAGATACTCCCATTAAGACTATTCGGCTTGACAATGCTGGTGAATTTACATCTCAAGATTTTATTGATTATTGCATGTCCATTGGGATAAATGTTGAACATCCTGTAGCACATGTTCATACACAAAATGGTCTAGCAGAGTCATTAATAAAACGTATTCAGTTAATTGCTAGACCATTGCTTATGAAATCCAATCTCCCAATTTCTGCTTGGGGACATGCTATATTACATGCAACAACACTAATTTGCATTAGGCCAACAAGTTATCACAAGTTCTCCCCATTACAATTGGTTTATGGTCAGGAACCAAATATTTCCCATCTAAGAATTTTTGGAATTGCGGTTTATGTTCCAATAACTCCACCACAACGCACTAAGATGGGTCCTCAAAGGAGGATGGGGATATATGTTGGGTTTGAATCCCCGTCAATAATTAAATATCTTGAGCCTACAACAGGGGATTTATTTACGGCTCGTTTTGCAGATTGTCATTTTAACGAGTCACTTTTCCCAACATTAGGGGGAGAAAAGAGAGAGCTGGAAAATGAAATTAAATGGAATGAATTATCATTATCCTATCTTGATCCTCGAACTAAACAATGTGAACTGGAAGTTCAAAAGATAATTTATTTACAAAGTTTAGCGAATCAATTGCCAGACTCGTTTGCTGACCCAAAAAGAGTGACCAAGTCGCATATTCCAGCTGTTAATGCTCCATTTAAAATAGATGTCCCGGAAGGACAAAATAAAATTACTAATGAGTCTAAACCACGCCAAAAACATGGAAGACCAATAGGTTCCAAAGATAAGAATCCTCGGAAAAGAAAAGGAGCATTGATTGATGATGGTCAAATTGAAGAAACAATTTCCGAAGGATCTCCAGAAGATACTTTAGACATGATACAAGAAGAAATTCAGGTACCTGATAATGAAGAAATTTCAATAAATTATATCATGTCTGGAATTACATGGAACCGAAATCAAATCGACGTCGATGATGTTTTTGCATGCAATGTAGCATTAGATGTTATGGATAATAATGAGGATCATGAACCAAAATCTATTGAAGAATGTAGACAAAGAAATGATTGGCCAAAATGGAAAGAAGCAATTGAAGCAGAATTAAAATCTCTTGGAAAAAGAGAAGTATTCGGACCAGTAGTCCGTACACCTGAAGGTGTAAAGCCAGTGGGATATAAATGGGTCTTTGTGCGAAAGAGAAATGAAAAGGGTGAAGTTGTAAGATATAAGGCACGCTTAGTTTCACAAGAATTCTCACAAAGACCTAGTATTGATTATGAGGAGACATATTCTCCTGTGGTGGATGCAACTACTTTTAGGTTTTTAATTAGTCTGGCAATAAGAGAAGGACTTGACTTACGTTTGATGGATGTAGTCACAACTTATTTATATGGCCCACTGGATAATGACATTTACATGAAGCTCCCAAAAGGATTCAAGCTGCCGGAAGCAGCAAAATCTAGTTCTCGAGAACATTTCTGTATTAAATTGAACAAATCTCTTTATGGATTGAAACAATCTGGGCGTATGTGGTATAACCGTCTAAGTGAGTATTTGTTGAAAGAAGGTTATAAGAATGATCCTATCAGCCCATGTATTTTTATAAAGAAATTTGGATCAGGATTTGTTATAATTGCAGTATATGTTGATGATTTGAATATCATTGGAACTCCCGAAGAGATTCCAGTGACTGTTAATTATTTAAAGAAAGAGTTCGAAATGAAAGATCTAGGAAAGACAAAATTCTGCTTGGGGTTACAAATAGAGCACCTAGAGAATGGAATCCTTGTGCATCAATCAACATACATAGAAAAGGTTCTTAAAAGATTTTCTTTGGATACAACACATCCATTGAGCAGCCCTATGGTTGTAAGATCACTTGAAGTAGAGAAAGATCCATTCCGACCTCAGGAAAATGATGAAGAAATTCTTGGTCCTGAAGTACCGTAGCTTAGTGCAATTGGAGCACTAATGTACCTTGCAAGTCATACACGACCTGATATATCATTTTCAGTTAATTTATTAGCAAGGTTTAGTTCATGTCCAACCCGAAGGCATTGGAATGGGATTAAACATTTACTTCGTTACCTTCAAGGTACGAAGGATATGTGTTTATTTTTCCCAAAGTTGTCCAAAGAAAATTTGATTGGTTTTGCAGATGCGGGTTATTTATCTGATCCTCATAATGGTCGGTCACAAACTGGATATGTGTTCACATATGGTGGTACTGCCATTTCTTAGCGTTCCATGAAACAAACCATTGCAGCTACTTCTTCCAATCATTCTGAGATTTTAGCAATTCACAAGGTTAGTCGTGAATGTGTATGGTTAAGGTCGGTAGTTCAACATATAAAAGAAGTTTGTGGTTTATCATCTGGGAAAGAGGCACCAACAACTTTATATGAGGATAACGCTGCTTGTATTGCTCAACTTAAGGAAGGATACATCAAAGGCGACAGAACAAAGCACATCTTACCCAAATTTTTCTTCACTCATGATCTTCAGAAGAATGGAGATATAAATGTATTGCATATTCGTTCAAGTGAGAATTTAGCAGACTTATTTACGAAGGCTCTTCCGACAGCAACATTCAAAAAGTTAGCTTACGACATTGGATTGCGTCGTCTTAAAGATCTCAAGTGATGTAGTCATAAGGGGGAGTTAATGCGCGCTGCACTCTTTTTTCCTTAACCATGGTTTTTTCCCACTGGGTTTTCCTGGTAAGGTTTTTAACGAGGCAGCATCTTATGCGCATTATAGTGTATTATTTTGTACAGGTTTTGTAGTAAATGTTAGTTATTATTTTATTCAATATATAGTCATCCAAGGGGGAGTGTTATGATAATATCTAAATATGGATGACTATTATCCCATGTACAATCTAGAATATTCTAGAGTTGGGTATTTGGTCTTATCCATTGATGGAACCCTAGGAAATGTACATTATATATATCCCGTACTAGATGGAATATGAAATACAACGTAACAATCTTCCCTCATCTCTCTTTATTTTCTATTCCATATTTAACAAAAGCTATTTAGTCGAGAAGAATATGCCATACTTTGAGTTCTTCATTATCTCTTCCAAACCTTCTACGGAGTACATGTTTTGTAGTGAGAACATGGACATCGTCAAAAAAATTTGTAGGGGTTGGAATAGTAGTAGGGGTTGGGATAGTAGGGGTTTCGACAGTAGATTTTGGAAAAGTAGTAGGGGTTGGAATAGTAGTAGGGATTATGTTAGTAGGGGTTGGGATAGTAGGGGTTATAATAGTTTGGAAAAGTATTAGGGGTTTGGCCGGGCAGTAGGGGTTTGAATAGTAGTAGGGGTTTTATCAGTAGGGGTTGGTATCGTAAGGGTTATGTCTGTAGAGGTTGGGGTTTAATTTTTAGCGCCTGATAATGGCAGCCAAGGGAATGATAGTAGTATTATTGAACGGAGTACTGTGCAAATCTCTCATTAACGA